TATATATATATATATATATATATATATATATATATATATATATATATATATATATGTGTGTGTGTGTGTGTGTGTGTGTGTGTGTGTGTGTGTGTGTGTGTGTGTGTGTGTGTGTGTGTGTGTGTGTGTGTGTGTGTGTGTGTGTGTGTGTGTGTGTGTGTGTGTGTGTGTGTGTGTGTGTGTGTGTGTGTGTGTGTGTGTGTGTGAAAATAAAGATTTATGATGATTATGAAGTTCCTAAACCCTTGATATTCCATAACTCTCAAATGCACCAAATGGAGGGAAAATTTTTTCACCTTGATTCTGCTATATTATATATAGAGATACGTTTCTGTGATGGGTTAACTACAAAATATAAAAATTATATTGACATTTACAAACTTGTGTATAAAATATATGTACGTGATATGATGATAACATCTTTTGGTGGTATATGCATATTGCCAATGAAACAATGCTTAATAAGTGGCCCAATCCTAGCCATGCATGTTAGTAAGATTGATGACTTAGTAATTACAACGTTACAAGTTCAACTGTCAACGAGTATTAATTATGAACAATCTACACTAATTTTTAGTTTTTTACTTGACGGGATTTAACTAATGCATATCAATAAATAATAATTGAGAGTTTCTCTCGTCACTTAAAAGAAACAAAAAACAAAAAAAAAAAAAAACAAAAACAAAAAGCAATGCTTAATAAGTGTAATTAAGATGGTTACATCATAACATTAGATATTTTGAAGGTCAAATGGACGATAATAACAGGTGAATGAACCAATACATATATTTAATAGGTACAATTTGCAGTTCAATTAAATGAAGTGCAAGTTATCACCACTTCCATATCCCTACACCAACCGATACCAACAGGCTACTGGTGGGTTACGTTAATTATCACAAATAGTGGATAAAGGAGACTATGTACGTATCAATATTTTGAGAAAATGATATTAATTTATGATTATTTGTTATGTGTACGTAAATTTATTACTTATTATACTTATCTTATTTCTTTCTGTCGACAAGTCGACACAAATGTTGTGTAGTAAAACAAACTATGTACGTACGAAGTATGTAGAAATCGTATGTGGAGCATCAACTGACTTGTATTGCAAAACAAAATTGAAAGAAAATACCTAGCCAGTGGCAACGTTATGTCGTTATGGTAGATGACGTGTCGTAACGTGTTGACTGACGAGGCTAACCCAGTCATATTATTTCACACGAAAACCACCAACCACTTATTGTTGAAAAACACCATGAAAAACACCATCTATTCTCTTTTTGACTTAATAATGATAAGGTTACAAATTTGATTTTCACTTAGCAGACTGATGTATTGACCTTCTTGATTTGAGTCACTCAGTTATGGGTAACTTAATCAGTTTATCTCCTTGTGGTTTTACCGGCTAGAATCACATGGTGAGATTTACCTTGTACACATCTTTAGGTAGTAATTACAAGTTTCTCTAGTCATTCAATAAAAAATTACTGCGAATGGCCTGAAAGGGTTGCTGATAGGTTGGAGTGTAATTCTTGTATTTGGAGGTTATAAGTTCAATTTTACTAGTACTCTCTGAGTACAACCTATCGCACATGATTTTTTTTGTGCAACTTACCTCTATTTAAAAATTACTTAAATTGATATTTAAAGTGCCATTCTGTTGTATAGTTGGTCCAATTTTGATTTGGGTCAAGTCAAAATATATTAAGGTTCTCTTAAATGATGTTTAATTTGATATATTATACTATACGCTCAAAAAAAGATAACGAGTGTGCCTTAAAAGTTTGGCACGTGTGCACCCTTGACCTGAACACGTCGCGATTGGGTCAAATTGTTGGGCATAATATGTTGGTACTTTTGCTCTCTAAAATTTCTAATTTTCTCTACCTACGATCTCTCTACTTCTATGTGTTCTGTCACTATTATAAATTACGAACTGCGTCTTTGTTCAAATTCACTGAAAAGTTAATATCTGAGTGCTCAAATATTTAAATGTAATTCATTGTATCCTGAAAAATTGACGTTTCAACATTCCTAACACTCAGGAAGAAGCAAATCGATTTTAAGGAAATTATAAGTATCACGCGCATTGAATTTTTGTTAGTTCTTGTGGACTGAAAATTTTTAAGGATTATTCTATTTTGAATTTTTTGTAAAAATCCTCTAACAACATCTTGTACAAGGTATTCTTAGTGTCGGAGGTATGGGTGGAGATGGTGCACCCGTGCCAAGAGTTTATCCAATGCACATGCTAGGATAATGGTTAAGAATTTTCTTCGTCACTAAAAAAAAAAAAAAAAAAAACGTATGTAGATATGCTTATAGTGATTAAGTTGTGTTGCTAAACTTTTAAGATGCAATGTACAATACGGAGTAGTTGAGAATGACATTATCCAATTTGCTTTGGCTAAACAACCCAACAAGGCAACAACCGAGTGAGTTGATACCATCTACGGATCGGAATCATAAAATATTAGCGATTGTTTAAGTGTAAAATTGTATCACATCACACGTGTAATATATATATATATATATATATATATATATATATATATATATAATGAAAATACAATTTTTTTCTTAAATCTCATAAAAATATTTTATTTTTACTATAAAGTATTATGTGTCTTACGTAAAATGGTCTTATACAATTTTTATGAATATAAAATTGTATGAAGTTTTTTTTTTTTGGTCAAATTTAAAATCTAAAAATTATAGAAAAGGTAATAATGGTAAGATTTTAATGTTGATAAAAAAAAAAAAACAAAAATAAAACTATAGTGATAGCTTGTAAATTATGTTTATTTTCTTCCATGCTTACAAATATTTTCTTGTAATAGCATAGACTTGAGTGATTTTAATTTGAATTTTGAAGGGTCTTCGTCTAATCTAGGAGAAGCTTGCCAATGCAGTATCTGTTAACTCCAATTGAAACATAAAGAGTAAAGAGTAATTTGGTGACACTGGACCACAAGATCATTGGCTCTCATGTTTTTATCTAAGGATTAATATTTGATGCACCGCCGATGTATAGATGCTATACACTGATCAAATATTAATCCTTATTATTATAGATTGACAAAATTGAGATAACTATCAACCTAAAGAGATACCAACATCAAACCTACCAAATGAAGGGGCCAGAACACCTTTGCAGCTTTGCTTTCCTAAATAAGATGGGTAAATTACTATTTACAATTAAGGGTCATAGATATATGAAAAAAGAATATTATTTTTCTATTTAAAATTACTATATAATTTTATTTTCTATAGAAACATTGTTAATAAAAATTTTGAAAATTCTTTATTTCAATTAATTACTCATGAACTAGTCAACATAATAATTAGAAATTAATAAAAAATTTACATAATATTTAATTAGAAAAAAAGTAGTATTACGGAGTATATAATTAATTCTAACATATCATAGAATGAATATTAATAAGTGATGATTTTTATTTTTATTTTTTATTTTTTTTAAACGTGGCATTAGTCAAAATATATGATGATGAACAATTTGAAATGCAACTAATATTTGTAGCTATTTGATATTGTATGCTTCCATATTTGGTCATTTTCTAGTAATCTTATTGCATATATATACATGATTAAGATTATTATATATATATATATATATATATATATATATATAGCATTACACTACAAACGTGTCACCAAGGCTCTATTATCTTTAAAACTTTTTTTATTTTGCCAAATTATATTCTAAATATCAAGAATTCACAATTGTTATATTGTAGATCAAGATCTACCATGTCTATGATGAAGCATGTTTATTTATATATGTACATATAATTTATTAACTGAAAATAACTATATATTGTAAATTATGATCCATAATATAATTTGCATCTGAACTTATTTTAGGCTTATAAAGAAATAAATCAACTTAATCTTACTTTAAAACTTAATATTAAAATGTACACAAAATCTAATCTAAAATTAAACCTCCAATATTCATAGTAGGGATACAACTCTCGACCGACAACAATGACCGACGCGTACGCAGAGAAGAGAATCAGTTATATCTGCCACTTGTAAACAACTTCAAGTGGATTAGATTCCTTATTTTTCTTGGCCGGTTGGCCCACCTGCACCTTATAGATAGGGCTCCTTTCATGTATGCGGCCCTTGCGGGTTTGGTAAGGTACTAAGGTGGGTCCTCCATTCTCTTTATTTTTTCTATTCATATAATTAAGTTATATATTCTCTAAAATTAATTAATTTTTTTTAATATTTACATTCTAATTATACATTTTATATTTAATTATTGATTAAATTTTTTAAATCATTATAGGATCAGTAAAAATAAATGAATATAAAGTGTTGTATTACTACGTGAGTTTTAAGAGATAAATTTGAGATGAGAAAATAATATCTGTCTTATTCATATCAGTATATCACTAGTCAAATATCTCATATTATGCGGTTAAATAAATGTTCAATAATAGTAAAACATAAATAATTAAGAAAAGGATATGGTGTTGAATAGCTGAGGCCTCCTTGAGTCCTTGTACAAATTTAGGGTGTGTTTGGTTCGCACGTAGTAATCGGAATCAGAATGGGTATCAAATACCTGGTAATGGTAATGAGTTTTTGGTGAAAGTATTTAACATGTTTGGTAGTAGGGTGGAATGAGAATAGTTACTAATAGTAGTGCTTGAGAAGGAATAAGGGAATGAAATCCTTATATTATTTGGTTATGGGTTTTTCAATTAATGGGATATTCGAAACCCATAGTAGTGTTCTAAAAACCTATCAACCAAACAACAACAATCACTTTCATACCCATTCCTATGGGCAAAACTCACCAACCAAACACACCCTTAACATCAAATAATGTGGAAACAATATTGACTTTGTACTCGATACAAATTTAAAATCTTTATTATTCGCTTTGGTGATATATTAGATATAAGAGTAACAAGTGCTAATCAACACCATAAAATTTTCTCTAAACAATAAATACATCAGTATTATTTTGAAGGGGTGGTCTTATTCTTGTAGAATCCTCTAATAATATACTCTTTTATCACCGTTACATACAGTTGATGAAATACAATCAAGGCATCATAAAAGCAAAATCCAAACCCAGAAAGACCATCTGTACAATATCTTCCTGGAGGATATATCCAAGACAGACTATATATATAGTACGTAATTACGTACATATATATATATATATGGCAAAACAGTTTCTAATTACTATAATATATATTGTACGTATTATGGTTAATGGTCGGATTTGCCCATGGTGAAGCCAGTAAATGAAGAGAGTTCACTCATGTGGGGAATGGTGAATGGGCCCTGCAACAATCCTGTGGCTATCAATTTGTATGCGGCTTCCGTCAAGTGCACGCCGTCCCAACTAACGTACGTTGACGGATCGTCGCACGTCGTCGACCCGGGACCGCCGCAGTCGACGGAAGAGTGATAGTGGTATGGACCCTCCCCTCCACAACATGCACTTGTGGTACTTGCAAATCCTGCCCCACGAAGAAATAAATTTAGTTTATGATAAGATAATAATAAGATTTCGTGTGGGAAAATATTGCATGGGAGTTGAGATGTACCGAATTTGCTAGGGGCACGGTAGATTCTCATGGCAGCATTGTAATAATCAGCGTAAATAAGGTTAACGTCGGGGTAAAGTTGGCGGAGGCGGTTGAGTTCGTCCTGGAGGAGTTGGTTGTGGTACTGGGAGAATTCGTTTAGCCAATTGAGACAACCAGTCGTGGCGTCGTAATCGTTCTTATTATCACTGGCGAAAAATGTAAGGTAGGCAGCTGAGCATCCGATTGGTAGGTTTCCCGGGACGATTAGTGTTTGAGCCCCGAGTTCGATTAATTCCTGCACAAATGGTTAAAACACAAAGATGAAAACCAAAAAATAATAATGAAAGAAAAATTCATGGTCAATAAAATTTGGTGAAAGGTCTTACATTAATAGCTAAGCTGATGGAGTTGACAACATCAGGAACATATGTTAAGACTTCTTCTTTGGAATGACCTTGCAAGAAGGGGTGATTATAGTCATTTCCTCCAATTTCTCCCATCATAATAAGCGATTCTTGAAGATACTCTTTGCAACCTGGACACCATAATTCAAAAATTACAAATATTATAAATTAAATACTTCCACTATATAATTCAAATAATTTCTTTTAAATTAAATAAATAGTTTCATATTATTATCATTCTGTACTTAATCCAATTAAATTCAATTTCGACCGGCAATAATCATTGTATGATTAGTTTAAAAGTAGTTGGTGAGTTAAGACTAACCCACCACACCTTTTCCCAGCAAGAAAGAAATTGTCCAAACAGAACACGCAAATGGACAGCCGTTTTCTTCAAGATTCAACAACGGCGGTCGTGGAAGCATTGACATTTTCAATATCGTGGAGCCAAACGTCCCTTTATTTACCTACCAACGGTTACACTCTTTATTTATGCTTTTTTTTTTTTTTTAAATATATATTTTTTACTTTTCCATTAAAGCCGGAAACTAAAAAGTAAAAACCCACCCCTTAAATTCGGCCTAAATTCAAAATTTTACACTCAGGTTTTTATCTTCTTCATTTTTTAAAAATTTTTATTTTTATTAATTATATCTGACTCACAAAAGGCCAAATTATTCGATCTCGAATCTTACATCTTGACTTGATAGAATTTGTGGATGTGATAAATCACGATGATTCATTTTACTAATAACAATATCTGTTCAATCAGATAAAAAGTGAACTGGTAAATCATGGTGACTTAATAAAATATTAACTTACTTGATGGAGTGTTGCATAAAGATGGAAGCATTTGCTTGAACCATTCCAGCTGAGTTCCCAAGGAAACATTCGTGCTAGGGTTACTCACCCCTCTCGCCACCAAATACGAGATATCAACCGCCGTGGCTCCGGCCACCGCGAAGTTCACACCTTTGGTAAAATCCCTGGCGGCGTTGGCGCTTTTCCCCGCCGCAGACGGTGGCAGGAGTGGGAATCCCATGCTCTGGGCTGCATATATATAACCAATGCTCCAATAATTTAGTCAAATTTAATTTATTCAGACGGCGCGGTTAGTTACGTTGTAAAAACACAGTTTAATTAGTAGTTTACGTACCGATGAAGTCAACCACGAGACGGCCGTCGGAGAAGCGGCCGGTGGGGTGGTGGAAGAAGGTCTCTCCGTACGGAAGCTCGCCGGAGACGACGCGCTTATTGGACTGAGAAATCCGGACTAAGTTTCCGGTGTCGGCGAGAGAGTCGCCGAAACTAATCATGGCCCGGAACTGGCCATTAACGTACCCACACGAAGCTAATAAGCTCAGAACAACATAAATTAACGCAAAACCTTTACACGAAGAAGAAGAAGAAGCCATGGCAGATCAGATGCTTAATGTTATTATTTCTTGCAAAGAAAAATATTTGTATATATTGATATATTGCTTATTATTACAACTGTCGTCTACAAGAGGCTTTACAGTTTACACTCTGAAAGTCCTCTGGTGGTTTTTGTATTTTTGGCGCACTTTTATAGACGAAGGAGTTCACCTACCAAGGACTAAAATGTAAAATTCCTCTTATCCACAACCACCATTTTAATTTTAATATTTTATTTTCTTAAAATAATATTTTCGTAATAGTGCCCACCTAACTCCCGCTTCTGTTACATGCATTCAGGATGTATTTCATAAATTAAATAGTACGGAATATATATTTAATATGTAATTAATTATATAAATCGATTATCATATATTATTTCCATTTAAGTTGAAGGAATGTCGAATTAAGAACATAAATCCGTATTTAGATGGTCTTCAATACTCGATACATTATTGTTATTAAAAAAATCCGACAAAAAACTATATATAATGTAGGTATATATATAAAAAATGAAAAGTATAACCCATAATTAGTCTTATAATTAAATATTTAATTAAAAAACTGGATAGTAAATGAAATTAAAGTCAATTCTTATAAATATTTATGAAAGTCAATCTTAATAAATTCAAGTAGATAATGAAAGAATTTAATGTTGAGAAAAAAATCTTTTTAACAAATTTTGCATCATATAATGTCATTGTGACATGTGATTAACCAACCCACTACGAGTTAAATAATCAAATGAAAAATAACATTGTTTGTTCATATATTTATATGGAATATCGGTTTTAGTATCTTATCAATTGTTAATATGAGTATTATTAAGCATTTAATTTTTATTTTTTTTATAAGATGGTGATTTTGGTTCCTTTACAATAGAGACCAGTATAGTCTAACACATACAGTCTATTACTGAATATAGACACAAAACAATAATTTACAATTATAAACCATAAAATCTATATGAATTAACCCGTCAAAAAATCAAAACTATCATAATCATCACCTAAAAAAAAAATAAAAAGTTAGTAATACTCATGTCAACAAGACAACATCTGATGTATTAAAATTATTACTTCGTATTTTGTATAAACACAATGACAACAAACTGTCATTTTCGCTCCATCAAATAGTGAAATCATATGGATGGCATAAGAATTGGGTACCAAAAAAAAAAAAAAAATCTTCTTCTTGAATACCTATAAAATAATATAATACAAAATATTTGCTATATGGATAAATGAAGAAGGTATTTCAATATCCTCCATTCATTAAGGTTCAAATAGGAAATAATGGAGGGGAGGGAATATGAAGTATAGATGCATAAAGACATATATGTTGAACAAAAATAAATGTATTATGTATATTGGTAGGCAGCAAGGAAGCCAACGGTTTGAGATTATCCATATATTGCACCCCTGGGCCCCTCAGTCTCACCACCATGGCCGAAAGGTGGAGTGGGGGTGGTTGGCTAATCTTCCTAGCAATTATACCATGGACCCGAGTCTAAAATACACAATTTACATAGTAAATGTTCATAATATAATGTATGTATTGAATGTTTTAATATGTAATTGTGTATGTAAATTATGAACATTCAGAGTGTAAATTATGTATTTTTGAACTCAGATTCACTTTGTATTTTTAGTATGTAAGGTGGGCTCGGGTCCACAGGTTAATTTTCCCTTACTAGTTATTAAGAATTTTTTATTAATTAATTAGTGTTTGGTTTCTTTCTCTTGTTGAATAGTTATATATTAAGGAGGATCAAATTATTGTTGGATATGGGTGTTGGAGTGTCGGGTGTGTTACATTTTTGACATTTTGCAATGTTTTGATTATATTAATTATGATTCATTGCCATTTGTTATAGGAAAGAGTCATGCAACTCGGTATGTATGAGAATATTTCTTTAATTTGTTTTTTTTATTAAAATCTCAAGAGCTAATTCCATGTATTTCTCAATTATTTAATTCTTTTTTTTATATTTGGTTTTCAATTTTAAAATCGACTTTATTTAACCATTTGCTTTTGAGTATTCTAACAACCAAAAAAAAGAAAAAAGAAAAAAAAAAGAATATACACTTCTACAGAGTTCAACTCAAACACAAACTCTTCAAAATCTTCCCAAATTCTATTTTTAACTACATGGATAATCTGTATCAATTTCTTATCACCTATTATTCGTTATAAGTGTATAAATATATGAAATTCTATCCAAACATAGGATAATCAAAGACTAAAAGTAATTTTTTTTTTTAAATCGAAAATTCAAATTTTTTTGAAAAAACACCAATAGTAGTCAATGAACACAAATAATCATCATTCCCCAAATTTGACCGGAGGTTATTGGTTGGTATGATCACTTACCAAGTCCATGATGGAACTCGCCAGCTCAGCTAACCTACCTGTTTTTGTCTGGCTACGTGGTGAGCTTAGTCTCCTGCTGGCCAAGTGGCCGGTTCTCTTGGCCCCATTTTTGACTAGTATGATTTATTCAACCGGTCCGATCGACGTCGTCAACTTGGACAACAAATAAAAAAGACAAATTATTTTGTAGGTGAGGAAAATTAAAGCAATTTTAAAAATGGAGATACAAATTATACCAAATGAGTACTGTTGGGTTGTACTTATCCATCCATTACTTCTTAAGTTTGACGACCAAATAAATGCCCTTTCCAACTTTTTTTATTTTCTATAAAAGTCAAATTTATCTAATGTACTTGCACCCTTGAATAGTGATTACGGATCACTGTTTTTATATATTAAATATTTCATAAATGTAATTATTAAATTGTATATAATTCTATTATTATTATTATTAGTCAATGATAATGCATATAAATAAAATAAAATGATAAGTGTATTCTTAGAGAATAAAATTCTCGCTACATTGTTCATATTTTATTAGAAGAAAAAATAATAATTAAAATATTTGTTTATTTTTTCATTAATCAATTAGTACATGTCATGTCAAAACGTTTTTGGTCAAAGCTATTGTACATGGTCATCCTAGTATGATTGGAAAATGATAACGGAACATCAAGGGAGTAAAACTCTTGTCACGTGTCTTGATTTTATTGGAGAAAGAAGAAAAGAAAATAATAAAAATGTGGGTCACATTTTTTTGAATGAATCAAAGTGTAGTGTCATGTAAGTAAGGAATACAAAATGGAATAAAAAAGTGAAAGTATGTGTAGTAATGTAGTATTACTCGGTATGGTTATTAGTAGATTATTACATAATAATGGGATTTACCTGTGTACACTCTCGGATAGTAACCGCATGTTTGTCTCTTATTGCCAACATCCTTAATTAGGATTGAGATTTGAATCAGTGACTTCTGTATGGAATAGTAATAGTGATGTCATCAAATTATAAGATATTTGACTTTTATAATGTTTTGGACTAAGGGTCAAATAGGCAACCCAACTGCACACAAAAGTGCAATTAGGCTATCGAACTCAAAAAAGATGCAATTAGGTCCCTGAACAACACAAAATTATGCAATTAGGTCCAAAATGACCTGTTTACCTGAAATTATAGATTACCGATTGCAAAAATAATTTTTAAAACTAATTTTAAATAAAATAATTATTTAAAAAAATTAAAAAATAAAAACTAAACGTGTCATAGACGAATCGTCTCCGGCAGGCTTCATCTCCATGACCAGGAGACAAAGGTTGGTCTCCCTGGCCATGGAGACGAAGGTTCCGGATGGTCTCCGGCCATGGAGACAAAGAGACATCCGTCTCCATGGCCATGGAGACGAAGCCTACCGGAGACAATCGTCTCCGGCAGGTTTAATTTTTTTTTAATTTTAATTTTAATTTTAATTAATTATTTTATTTAAAATTAGTTTTAAAAATTATTTTTAAAATCGGTAACCTACAATTTCAGGTAAACAGGTCATTTTGGACCTAATTGCATAATTTTGTTTTGTTTAGGGACCCAATTGCATATTTTTTTAAAGTTCGGTGGCCTAATTGCATTTTAGTGTGGTTGGGTGGCCTATTTGACCCTTATTCTTATGACATGTTTGGTTCATGGAATAGGTCAGGAATGTAATAACATTCCTTGGAATAGACCTATTCCATCGTTTGGTTGGATCATTTTGTCATGGGAATAGCATGCCTAGGAATGAGCTATTACCTTCGCAAGGGGAATAGTCATTCCTAGGGGGGGCCTTGGTATTAGCTATTCTCATACCATTGGGAATAGCTTTTATATCACAAATACCAAAAAATACCCTTTGCACATTATATAATATTTATATTTATTTAATAAATATAATGTATTATATAAATGTATATATTTAATTAATTATAATTTTTATCTATCAATAAATATATATTTAAATAAATTATTTGTGTGTGTGTGTGTGTGTGTGTATATATATATATATATATATATATATATATATATATATATATATATATATATATATAATTAACTGTATAAGACTCCTTAATTATGGAGCTTTGGCTCCTAAATTAAGTAGTCGATCTGCCCATCTGCATGCTTAGCGGATGGGCATTGCAAGCTTGCCTAGCGGATGAGCATTGCAATTGAAATTATGGAACCTTGATGGTCCTTTTATAGGAGCCTTAAGGCTCCATTCCTTACTTCTCCAACCGATGTGGGATAAGTGAAAAAATAAATATAAATATAAATATGTATTTGTATTATATAATAATAATAATAATAATAATAATAATAATAATTATTATTATTATTATTATTATTATTATTATTATTCTCTCTCTCACACACACATGCATATACATGTGTATATATATATATATATATATATATATATATATATATATATATATATATATATATATAACATTTAGTATATCATATATATATAACATTTAGTATATCATAATCATATTTATTATTATTATTATTATTATTATTATCATTATTATTATTATTATTATTATGATTATTATTATTATTATGTATAAGCGTATTTATGTCTTTAAAACCTATTCCATTTCTATTCTTTTAACCAACCAAACACTGGAATACAATTACTCAAATCTATTCCTTCAGCCAACCAAACAACAGAATACAATTCTTATTCTATTCCTTACCTATTCCATTCCCTGT